TGGTGTAACGGTGCCAGTCTCCCAACTATCATCTACTCACGCTTTCAGGCCTATCTCTGCCACAGCCAAGAACGGGTGCCAGAGCAAAACCCAGCCCACCAATGAACCCACTTTTTCAAGCGTTTTGAATCCGCAACAGATATTATAACACCGCCTATGTATGTGCCGTGTGGGTGGAGCAGTGGTGCAGTGGTAAGCACACTGTGCCTTGAACCCAAGAGCCCGAGGGTGATTCCGGGTCACAGCTGACATTAGTGGAGACCACTAACTATTTATTAACTACTTTTTTTATTTTACCAGGTAAGGCCCACTGAGCTATGTAGCTCTTTTTTCAGAGGCGACCTGGCCACAAATGATGGCTCAACGAAGTGGCTTATCACGTGGATATTAATAGCAGCCAATTACTCTAACAACGCATGTTGATTCTAAATGTGACGTCTGCATTAATCCTGGGTCCCACTTCACAAACATGCAATGCTCAACATGGTGAAGTATGGCCAAACAAACCCTCGATGACCAATATGGTGTGTGCAGGCCTTCATACAGCAATTCATTGGCAAAGGGCTCTGGTTTGTGTTTGCTATGTGCTGTGCATGTGCGCAAATATTACAACTGCAACTACTACCACAAGGTATAATTGACCACTGCTGTCATTAGTGAACAATTTGGCATTTGGGACAGATTGCCATTTTAAAGATATTCAACGTGTGCTTCCTTATCATTTACAGGCTTAATGGGAGGATTCTAGTGGCATTGGCTGGCCCTCTCTGACCCGAAGCCAGCTTAAACAGCCACATACACATTTCCCTTTTTGTAATTTCAACTTAAATTCACTGCGGGCATAACACGCGTACGCGCGCGACGATCCGTCTGTGCGCTCGCAGGTTCAGAGATCCCTGCTGCTGGCGACCTCAAAATCACGAAGTAGAAGAATACCCCGTTGCAGAGTTCACAGTGAAAGGGGAAATCATAAAAAAATAAGGCAAATGGCTTTGAGAAACGCTAACGGGGACCCAGCATAGAGCAGGGGCAGGGTTATGCGAGGAGAACACTCAGATCGGTCACTAGGCAGCGTTTCACTTGGCAATGTTTGGTGAGCAACACCATTGGTAAATTAAAGGCAGATTACCCTCAGTACGTACACACACACACGTACCACGTGTGTGTGTGTACGCACCGTGTATTTGCGCGAGATATACGATGATCCACCACCACCCCCCGCCTCGATATGATGAATCGCGTTCCGATTCGGGGTTAAAAATGCCAGAATTTCAAATTGCATCTCGTTTGTGGCTTACTCTCGTGTCGTTACTCGTTTGTGGCTATCACTCGTGCTGTCGTTGTTACTGGTTTGCTGCCCCGTCCGCAGTCTCAATAGCTCCGCTATTCAGCTGAAGGCAACGTTTGCATACGATCCGAGTAGAATTTACATCAACACAGCGATCGACCCTCTCCTGGACGACGGCACTCCCCGCATTGTGAGCGGAAGCAAGAACACGTTTCAATCGTCGAATCATTACCGGCCCCATGCAAAACCTTGATATGTTTAAAAACAAGTGCAGGTCATGGGAGTTTCTCGTCTCGCCAAGGGGGAATTTGCTCTCCTTCTCACAGATGTATGGCTGGGATCAATAACAGCGGCGAGTGGCTCTACGGTGAGCTCCCACGTCGGAACGTCGTGCATCCCTCTGCACGACGTCCCGACGTTTTCACGCTTCACACGTGTTTGGAGCTTCTTCACCGGAAAGGAATATTCGAGTTCCCGCAGAGCGCGCCTGCGTTTCCTCGTACGTCACACCGACTTCCTGAAGAAGCTCCTAGCACGTGAAGCGAAAGGTCGGACTTCGCGAACGACAAAAGCGCTACGAAACCCCGAAGCCACGTCGGAGAGCTCCGGGCAGCAAAACCTCGAAAACCCGCGGCGAGCCTAACGACGGGGAGCGGCGCGAGTTCCGTCTCGTCTTGTGTGCGGCCAGCGGCAAGCCAAGTGTTTCCTGCTTAAACATTCAACGAAAAAATTAAAACATAAATCGATAGGTCGTGAGGAACAAAAAAAATCATCAGATGGTCGCGAAGTTAATCGAAGCCGGAAAAACGATTTTAAGTGCAGGTTTCTATGCCTCATCTCCAGTTGTCCGTAGTCAACTGCTGCCCGCTGCGTTTATATATATATAACATATATTAATATAT